ATAAAGAAAAATAATGTTGTGAGGAAAGTGCAATTATATGATCGAACTCGACTACGATGTTTTAGCATTTATATGATAACCGATAACTATGAGTACCTGTAAAAAAAAAGTGCAATTCCCGGAGATTTTCTACGTTTTTAGTTACGTTTTTATTAGATTGTATAAATTAAAACAATTGACATTATTGTTAATGTAGTAAAAAAAGAAATACCTGATGAAATCCAGGCTCATGAGTCAAACCAAACGCCGAGCTCGGCAAGACAAGCCTGAATCCGACTATCGCTTCCGTACAAGTGCGCGTATCTCTCCAGACACGAGTCGAAAACTCTAGCCAGCACTTTAGCAAGTGGATAGCTTATAGCAAAACCACCTCCACCAAATGCCATTTCGTACGAAAACAATTTATTCTGAGCAAAACTCTCCGAATTTGCGCCAACATAGTACCAAAGCCCGTGATCGTATTTCGACAAGGTCTTCGCCACATTTTCTGGGAAAAAAACCGTGTCATCGTCACCAAAAACAAACCACCTCACGTTCGAGTAGTTTAACGAAACTATCTCGGACACTACACGGGCGACCCGTATAGCCGAACGGAGCCCGTTTCTGTAGGTGTAACGGAAACGGGCTGTGTCCTCCGAAATACATATAGGTGGGAGAGAACTTTCGTTATGGTTTAGTAGTAGTCCTTCGTCCGGCGGGGGAGTTTTTTCGAGAAAAATGCAGCCCCTCGTTTGCGGGCCCCACCAGAGGGCGACGTAGCTCTTTCGGGTCGACCATGATTTCTCGTTCGACGCGATGGCGAAAACTATGTGTTCGAGGGTGGTTGGGGTTTGGAAGGGAGTGGAGAAGTGTGTGGAGATTGTTCTTGGGATGATCAAGAATGATGTAATGAGATATGTTATGCATATTAGAGAAGAAAGTATCATGAAATTTGTGAGGCGATTTGAATATGGTTTGTTTTTGGAGGGTGCTTGTGAAATTTGCATCTTTTGCATCTTTTTTTTTTTCTATGGGAAATTTGGAGTAGAAATAGTCATGTTATTTAAATTAGGCTTCTTTTTGAAGTTTTTGGAGCTATCTTTGTTTGACCCGCAAATGTAGGCTTAAGTTAGGTCATAATTAATTAGATATAAATATGGTGATATGTATCTGAAAAGTTAGATGCTACATTTGGTTATTTACATTTGGTGAATTTAATCAACAGATCTACACATAATAATACTAGTAGATAGTTATTTCATCAAATTTACGGTTCAAATTCAATAGTGTAAATAATCATGTGTAAACATCTACCTCCCCATTATATCGTATCTATATATATATATATATATATATATCCACATGTGTCATTATGTGTACTGAAAGTTTAGAAACAAGAAAAGGGTTGGAGTTGACTTTTCCTCACATGAGATCATTTCTCCAGATGAAGACTGTGAGTGTCAACTCCTTTGATGAATGTTCAATCAAGTGAATTTTTTATTTTTAGAAATAGTCAGTTTCATATAGGATCTGATTTTTTATAATAAAATAAATAATTAATTGAAAATTAAAAAAGTTGTTTAAGGTTGCCAGATTCAACAGTTGTTGTAATGAGAAGTAACATCTGCAGCCCAGATGATGACACAAAAGACAAGGCATATTTCCCAGATGGTACTCAAACTAATAAATATATAAAAATCCAATTAAATATTTTATAATTCACATCTTTTTACTGTAACTTTAGAAGTTATTTTAGGATTCTTTTATGGAAACCTTAACAAACGCGAATTCGTTTCGTTACAGGGACAGAATAAAAGTGAAACGAAAACCAATCCAAACATTGCCATAACAAAATTTCCAATTTTTGCATCTCAAAAGGTCTGAAACTTAACCAAATGTATGAGTTCTTTAATGCTGTTTCAGGAATTAGTTTTATCAAATTTGATGTTATTCTATTTTATTTCAAAAAACAAATATATATATATATATATATATATATATATATATATATATTGGGACAACACTAACAAAAAAATGGGTAATTAGCACTTTGCACTCTTGAATTACATGCTTTTGGCACTTTGCATCCTTAAATTGAAACAATAGCACTTTGCACCCTCCAATTACAAATTGCTTGGCACTTTGCACCCTGTTACACCTTTTGTTAGAAAAATGACCTGCTTTGTAACAGGTAAAAATGACCTGCAATGTTCACAACGATACGTTTTTTATTTTTATTTTTCTTATTTAAGTATTGTAAACATCAATATATATACAGTGGTTGTTTGTTTGTACAACTTTACTTTTGAATCACACTGATTTCTTTGTGTGAGCTCAATGCTGGCAAAAAAAGAAATAGGACAACTCAGACGAATGTGATTTAAATATTTGTTGATTAGCACAAAATACAAACTTAATCATAAGTGAGATTTAGTATTAAATAATGTGAAGTTTGAGAAGTTTTGAGCTTTTTAAATTAGCAAATGATGTGTACAATCTCTGTTTGTGAAAAAATGTGACTGTAAAATTTTATTTATTCAAATTAGATAGAGGTGTAACTGTCATCTTTTTTTTTTCTTTCAGACTGTTGCTTCCCTAAATTCATGCTTTGGTATCAATAAGTTGTAAGTCACACTATTATCCAAAAAAAAAAAAAGAATGTCACAAAATTGGGCAACGATTTTCCCGATTCAAAATCTGTAGAACTGAAATAGAGGAGAATTGAGTCTGTGAGATGTATTTTTCATCTGGCCCACCCTTCAATCCCGTTCAGTATCCCCCTAGACGATTCAATGGGAAAAAGGAGGTGAGGAAACTATTACAGACATTTACCTGTTACAAAACCGGTTCCAGGTCATTTTTTTAACAAAAGGTGTAGCAGGGTGCAAAGTGCGAAGCAATTTGTAATTGAAGGGTGCAAAGTGCTATTATTTCAATTTAAGGGTGCAAAGTACCAAAAGCATGTAATTCAAGGGTGCAAAGTGCTAATTACCCCAAAAAATTAGTAAGATCATATTCTTTCCACATTGTGCACAATCGGATATTCTCGTTTTTTTTTCCTTCTCGGATATCAATAAAACGGAGTTTCCTGTCACAACCGAATCGGAGAGCAAAATAATTAAAAACTCCAATGATTTGTTCGTGTTGTCTTCTAGAATATAAACACACCCCACTTGGTGAAAAATTTGCAACACGGGATTCTCGTCCAATTTCTGCGACTCGAACAGTTTGGTTGACTATCCTGAAAAAACACGCGTCGGTCAAACAAGTGAAAAATAACGCGGCAGGAGATATTTTTGCAGGTTTACGAAAAATATATTTTCAATAAAAAGTTTGCATGCATCATCCTTCTGTTGGAACTTTCAACTACCTCGTTCGTTTCAGGTAAAAATATGTGATTAATGTTCTGTATTAGATACCCTCGTGATCGGGACGGCATATCAAACAACGATGCAAAAGTGGTGAAATAGTATTAAAAAATAAGACTCGTGAGTCGAGTCGTCGTATGGCAAAACTTACCTAGAATTGCTTTTCTCGGTAAGAAAAACATTATGCACAGCTGCGAATACACAAGTCTCTGTACGAAGGAAGCTCCACAAATATCGAGTTTCCACGAAATAATAGTAATGCACGATTAAATTATCCCCGAGCAGCAATTAGCTCGTAATTCCCGCATTTTCTTATTTTGATAATCATCTTGTAATAAGAAGACCACGAAATATCACAGCATTGTCGGCGTGTCGTTTTTATCTAACACAAAAACACGATAATTACAAAAAAAAAAAAAAAATTCAAAAAAAAAAGGGTAAATTACACCCACACCCCTGAGGTATACTTAAATAACTTTAAGGTCCCTGTGGTATCGATAATTACACTCACCCCCTTGAGACGTAGTTATAAACTACAATGGTATAATGCATTGGATACGTTATTACGATAGAATTCTAATGGACTATTGGTTTCAGGAATTGGCGAAGACAACAAAAAGTTATGGGTGATTTAAAAAATATTGGGGGAGTCATGTCACCCCATAACTCTCCATAACTCTATGTATCTCCACAACTAGCTAAAATTAATAGTCCATTAGAACCCTATCGGAATAATGTATCCAATGCATTATCCCGTTAGAGTTTTTAACTACCTTTCAGGGGGGTGAGTGTAATTATCGATACCACAGGGACCTTACAGTTATTTAAGCATACCTCAGGGGTGTGGGTGTAATTTACCCAAAAAAAAAAAAGTAAAAGAAAGTCACCTGTTCGACGTCGAAATTCTGATAAAGAGAAAAAACACTAATTTCTTTCAATTTCTCGACAGCTTTTCCTCTATAACAATTTCCCGTATTATTCCTCGTGTAATTCGTCCACACTCCATTTGCATCGTCAACTACATTATCCATAAAGTAGACAACGGATCGATTTCTATTGCACGGGTCACTATCGAACTTTCTCGTATTAAACATAAATCGGCTCGAAGCCACGTTTTTCCCTCTATTCCACGGTCTAAATGTTCTCTGAGAAGAGAGAAGTTCTGGAAGATTCTGATTCCCTTCGTACACCTGAACGGAATATCCCCACGAAATCGAAACAGTCAGCGAATTGGTTTTGTCGTAGCAAACGGTCTGCTGGAAAATCCTAGCTGGATCGAATCGCACGGCTTTGAAAAGATGCTCCAAAGAGTGAATTCTGCTCATGTTAGGAAATAGTGGTTCGATTGCGTCGATGTGGTGCAGTGAGGCGATGAGTGATAATGGATGTGACGAAAGAAACCCGAATAAATTTCCTCGTATATCGACCTGGAAATTAACGAAAAAATTATCCGTTAGTACAGAAACCCCAAGCAACAATTTATCGTTTTTCAAGAAACATCGGAACTACAAATAGAAACCCAAATAAGTTTTCTCGAATACTGAACTAGAAAGTAACGAAAAAATTATCCGATACTACAGAAACCCCAAGCAACAATGTTTCGTTTTTTCAAGAAACATCGAAACTACAATCGTCCACCTTATAATAAATAATTGGGTTCAAGAAAAAGCTCAATAATTTATTTATTTTCAAGAAACATCATATCTACTACCAGATACCCAATATGAACTCAACGAAAGGTATAACATCAATTTTCGGAGCTCAAACACCACCAATGTGTGTGGTTTCACATACATTCCCGCAAAAATGAATTCAACCTTAAGGTGGAAACCGGAACGGAGATTTTGAATTGCGTCGATTCCGATCCGAGTATCCGATTTTGGAACAGTATTTTCATAATGTGAATTCTGATAGTTCCAACTTCCAATTTTCGTTTTTTTTTTTTTTAAACAGAATTGCATGGTATACATATTACATTCCAATTTTTATCCAATTTTATTTTCCGAAAATCCCCAAAACAAAAAAAAAAAACGCAAATTGCACTTATAATGTCAATACCATTATGCATTTTGTACAACCGGTGACCCAAAAAATGAAAAATCTGAATTCCACCGTTTTCGATCATAAACCTTTCCCGAATTCCAATTTTTCCGATTTTTTTTTGGAACGGAATTGGAATTAGTTTTTTCAGTTCCGAAAAAAATCGGATGTTTTCCGAAAACGCTAATTCCGATTTCCACCCATGATTCAAACCTCACTATAACTAATGCAACGAACAATCCAAATATCTACATACACAATCGCGACGAATCGAAAGTGCTTCATCATCATCATCATCATCATCATCATCATCATCATCATCATCATCATCATCATCATCATCTAACAGCCAAAACAAACAACAAAATGCATCAACCTTTTTATACCTGATGGAAGCCTGGTTCGACTGTCAATCCAACGCCGAGCTCAGCCAAGCAAGCGAAAACCCGAGCATCACTTCCGTACAAATGGCGGTACCGACCGAGGCAAGAGTCGAGAACCCGGGATAAAGCTCGTGCCAGCGGCGCGCTAATGGCGAATCCGCCGCCGCCGAACGCCATATCGAAGGAAAATTTATCGTTCTGCTCGTAACTCTCGGAGCTACTACCGATGTAGTACCACTTGTCGTGATCGTACTTGGAAAGAATTCTGACCAAATTGTCGGTGAAAAATAAGGTGTCGTCGTCGCCAAAAACGTACCAGTAAACACCGGGGATGTCTAGGGCGACGGCGTCTCCGACGAGGCGGGCGATGCGGTGGCCGGGGGGGAGGGAGGAGGTGTTGGGTGGGACGACGATGGTGGGGAGGGAGGGGGTGGGGTAGGGTGGGCGGCGGTCGAGGAAGAGGAAGGTGGTGTTGAGATGGGAGATTGGGGTTTGCCAGAGGCGGAGGTATGGGGCGCGGAAGCGGAGGGAGGAGGAGGAGGAGGCGACGGAGAAGAGGAGGCGGCTGAGGGGGAGCGACGGCGGCGGCGGCGGTGGGGGAGAAGGGGATTCTTAAGTACGCGTTGGACCTTG